CCCCCCCCCGACTAATTTTAAAATCAACCCAAACCACCCCATCACGAGTCTGGTACACACAAGTGATGTTCAGAGTAACCCTGTTGGCTGCTGAGGTACAAGGTAACATCCCACTTTCCAGGTTAGTTGGGTTCAGTAGTTAAAAGACACTTGACAGCACATGCAGATTAAGGTGAAGGTAATTTTGTTTCTAAGCTTCCTTTTAGCACAAGGTGCATAAACTCAGTGTGTTTTAACATGATGGATTCAGTGGGTGAAATAGTTTTGGTGGAGGCAAATTCACATATCTTCTTAAATGGCAGACCCAAAAACCAGTGGTGACAAAAATGTTTATATTTCCTGATTAAGATAAGCCTTTTAAAAATGCCTTCTGTCATTCCTTCCTTATTCCTGTGATTCCTTGAGAAAGCTGTTGGGCTGCAGCCTGTCTGCTGCACTCCTTGACCTTTATGTTTGTCCCACTTGTGTCTCAAGGGTTTCCTTCTTTGCAAGTGCAAATAAATGAGATTTTTACGTGAGGCTTAATAAGAAAATGGGTGGAACAAACCCTGTAGCTGGTGCGTTCAACCTGTGATCACGAATCTGGAAGTACTTGCAGAAGATTCAGAAAAGGAGAGGTGCATTTTGAGCATTTTAAAGTGCTGGTGGTTTCTCTGCTCAGGAGGGAAGGGCCAGAGGGCAGGGAAGGCGGGAGCTGAGCTGGGAAGAAGGAAGCAGTGAGTTCAGTGGGACACTTTGGGCAGAACCGATCAAGAAAAAGATACTTTTCAGGCAGGAGGAGTAAAGAGAACTTTTAAATGAAACATTGTAAAAGAGCCCTTTTCAGAAAGACAGGGTTGTAAGTGATGTTGCAGAATTAGTTTCCATGGCTTTGAAGAATGTGTTTGAGAAAACCTTTACTGAGCTGTGAAGTAGTTTTTTTCAAAGAGGCTGTAAATATCTTGATCTCACTCTTGTAAGAAAAGCTGAATTCCTGATTTGCTTTAAAAAAATAGGGGTTTTTGAGGGTCCTTTCTGCTGAAAAACAGACTAAAAAAAAAGGTTGGTTAAAAAAAAAATCACTGTCTTTGCAGAGTAAAGGGGAGAGGATCAAAGCTTTAAGCTGCTCTTCTGTGAGGACATGTATAGTGATGTTCAGGTAAATTATACACACACTGTGAGGAGGCACAGGGCAAAGGCAGCAGCACTTGTGTCCTCCCCAGTGTTCAGTGGTCACTTCTTCGTGATCTCTGACAGCCTGAAACTTTAAATCAAAGTTGTCCTGGTGTTTGCACTCCAGGATTATTAAGAGGTCCCAGGAAACACTCTCATGCTTTGCCAGATTCCCTAAAAACACGTGGGCAGGGAGACCAACAGAGGATCTGCTGGTCAAGACTGTGACCTGCAGTTGGGGCTGACCCACATCATCAGTCCTAAACAAGACTCTTGATTTAACTGCTTGTCTTTTGGAATGTAACAAAATTCTGAGGTCTTTCCTCACCGTTTCTGACGGCCCTGAATTGTCTGGGTAATGCTTTGCTTTTGCTGAGCTTAAAATAAAACAGCTGATCAGTGGGATCCCCACTGCCTGTGTGTCTGACCAAACCCTTCTGTCATAGGCAGTAGAAAGAAACATTAAGTGCTTTTTTTTCTTCCAAGGTTCATAAAAGGCCAGTCTGTAGATACAGTGCAAAAATATATTTGGATAGATGTTCTTCAATCACCTGGACCTTTTGTAAGTTTTTCCTTCCATGACAACACCAGAGCAAATGTTTTCATGAAACATTCATATTCTGGAGGACATTGTACATCTTAGGAAGTTCTGCATGAAAACATAGGGTTTCTAAATAAGATTATTGTCTGGAGTCCTCACACAGCAACAGATGTTAGAAAACTGTGATTGATACATGATAGTAGAAATCAAGTTATTACTAATCTAGTTATTGTCCTTGCTGTTATTTTAAGATGACCACTTGCACACATGTTTATTGTTAATTTCTTTAAGAGCCAGTAGAGGCTGCTTGGTGCACTCTTTGGGCAAATTTGATATAAATAGGTGTACAAAATATCTGGAAGCCTAGTGCTGGGAAACGAGTGGAAAATGGTTTTTCTGCTATTTTTGCATAGTTATCCACATCTTAAAGCAAATACTCTGTGCATGAATGATCATAAGTGTTGCTGTGCATTGACAGTTGTCAGCTGGGAGTGCACAACTGGAACATGTGGGAGCCAGAACCCAACTCAGGAGGCTGTGGAATAGCCCTGGGGGCTGAAGAACAAGATCATGCCATGCCTGTCATGTTGAGGGGGATTGATGTACCACAATGTCATTTTCTAAAAATACAGGATTGTAATAGCTTGATGCTGGTATTCCATGTGACTTTTTCCTCCTGAAATGCTGTTAGTGGGATAAAGTTGGAACTTCACTTTGCGAATCACTATAGAGTTTCTTGTCACCAATAAACTCGGAAGGGTTTCTATTCTCTGCACATGTGAATTTGCAATTCTTGTCTGCATATTTGCATCGTGGTGTGCACAGAGTGGATCGCTCACCTCTCAAGATACCTGAGGTTGCAATTCCCCCCTGGAAGAGAAGTGTCATCCCTTTTCTTCAAAAAAAAAAAAAAAATGGCACTTTTGTCTCTTAATTGGAATGTCTTTAATTCTCAGGCACAATAGTGGCTTAACTGTCGTACTCTTCACTTTTGAAATAATACTCCTCTTGCTCAGCCTGCTGACCTGAAATGCCATGTCCCGAGTTCTGTTCTCCATATAAAGTAACTGAGAAAAGAACACGGCCAGAAATCCCTGTGCTTGAAATGAACACCCGTGCAAACAACCCTCTGTTTGTTGTGGCTGGGTCACAGCTGCACCAGAAGTGCTCAGCAGCGACGGGGCCTGAGAGCTTTGGGAATGACTGGGCATCCATGGCCCAGATCCTCAAGTGAACAAGTGGAGATGGGACAGGTGGTGAGTGGATTTCGGTGGATGTAGCTGAGCTTTTGTTTGGTAAGTCAGAAACACTGACACAAACAGGAGGGAACGCGGGGAGTGACAGCAGTTCAGTACCGGCTGTGTAAGCGGCTGTTCTTTGGAATCAGACACATGTCTGCAAACCTAATTTACTAATTGGAAAATACCTGTACAAACCAATGTTTAGGCATTTCAGAGACAAAAGGGCTCACTGAGCAAGGCTGCTTGTTTGTACAGTGAAACCTTGTGATTCTCAGGCTCATTAAGAGCTGACAGTGGGATCCAGTGCCTGGTGTAAATCATCTGTTACAGTTAGATAAATCATGGGATTTGTTGTTCAAGCAGGGGAGTGCTGATCCTTTGACCATGTCCAGTTAAGTTTTTATATTACTCTGACAGCTCCACGTTTTCTGATCACTTTGTCCAGTGTGTGTCAGTGCCACAGTGACACTTCTCATTGTGCTGCTCCTCACTTTTATTTTGATGAGCTCCAGAGAACAAAGTAATTGTGTGTTTCCACCACTCACCTGTAAAATTTGTTTGTTTTATTAATGAGTTAGTTGGTTTTTTTAGTGGATAAATGAAGATTATTTTTAAAATAGCCCAGCTAAGAGCCAGCCAGGAATCTCTGGCACATTATACTCTAATGAGCACAGACCTGCACACTTCCACAGTCACTGTGGGCCTGTCAGTCACTCTGCTGTTCCCCGTGGCTTCATTTCCTGCTAAAGAACTACTTTCATGTTTGTACTTGAAGAGTAAAACTTTTTGAAACCTTTCCTAAACTTCCACATAGGTCCCTTTGCCTCCCAGCCCAGGCCTAAGTTTGTCCTGAAGCCTCTTTGTGAGTGAAAGTACAAAAGGAACGCGGGGCCTGCGAGCACAGAAACAAAGCTGCTTTTCCTTGAAGCAGACTTGAACTTTGGATCTTTCCTCCTGTGATCTGTCATTAGAAAATGGCCTTTTCCAGATGGCAAAACAAAAGAAGTTAAGAAAACAAATGAATTAAGAAGAATTAATTGAAGCTGCATATTACAAGTTGACATTATACATCTGGCATTTCTGTTTATGTTTCTGCATCGGTACATTTCATTCTGGTTTAATAAGTTCCTAATTTTGTGGTTTGGGGTGTGTTTTTTTTTTTAAGATTTCGAAGTGCCTATGAAGAACAGCCCGTAGTAAAAGTATTGTTCCCAGTTTAGCTGTACTTCATTTTTTTAAAATCAAATCTTTTTCTTTAGTGGATAAACTCACAAGATTAGAAAAGCCTCTTGAACTCCCTCATGTTTGAGTTGGCTAATTTCCCACACACAATTATCCACAGAGAGCTACTTCTAAAAGACCTTTATTAAGGCTCTACAAAGTCAAGCACTCAGGAATTAGGAAATGGCAGAACCAGGTCTGTGCACTGGTAGTTTGGCCACTTTGTGTGAGTGCAGTGCAGTATCTGGGCAGTGTCTGCTCAGAAAGTGAGATGAGGCTGCTCAGAAGTTGTCCAAAACTCCCAGCTTTGTGTGCCTGGCCATGTAGAGGCTCTCCTCAGTATAATGAGACTTTAAAAAGTGGAACTTCAAATGTGGTAGTGGGTGTAACCCACGTGTGTGTCAGGAGGGAATCCTTTGTATTGTGTGTGTGGACACTCGTTCCTGACCCGAGCTCCAGGTGTGTAACTCGGAGCCGAGGCAGCAATTTTCACTTCCACATTTCACTGGGAGGCCACACACAAGTGTGATTGGAGCCAGGAATCTTTGCTTCAGGTTGAGCCCAAAGGAGTTTCTATGAAGGCTGGAGACTCTGCTGCCCATCCTCCTTCCTGATCTGTTCTGCCTGAGCTGTCAGAGCTCACCCCGTGCCCTCCCTCAGCTCTTTGGTTCAGGCCAACTCATCCTTGTTCCTTCCCTGCTCCTTGGCAGAGAAATCCACGTTCAGCCGAGCATCTTTAACTGGCTTACCTTCCCTGCTGCCTGCTTGTTTTCCATCTGGGTCTTTCTTCCCATCACCCTTCCAGTGTTGCTCTTCCCTGCCTGCCTGTCCCAGACCTGTGGTGCCCGGAGCACTGTGGCTGCAGCTGGGCTGCCTGGCAGGGATGTGGATGTCTGAGTGCTCCTGGAGCCTTTTCCCATCCTGGATAACCACTCACCTTCTGCTTCCTCTGTGATCAGATTTGTGCCTCCTTCCTCTTCACTCTGTGATGAGTTTGGAGCAGTGAGTCTTGCCACCCATCTCCTTTCTGTCTCCAGCTCCTTCCTGCTCTTCCAGGGCAGTGTATTTATTTAAAGTATGCCACAGGCTTTTATATCCCATCTGGATTGTTTATCAAGTGAAGCAGTAGCTCAACGCTGTAATGTATCCAAAAGCGTTTTGAGACTTTTTTGTGTGTTTTGTTTCAGTTTAAGAGTTGTTGGGGAAATCAGCAATGCAAAAATGCATTCTGAGGTATTTTAAACAGAGGGGCACAAAGGTGCTTAATTGGAAAAATAAGTTGCTGTTAATTGAGCTGTGAAGATTGTTAGACCCAGGACTGTGTTTGTCTGGCAAACTTGGCTCCTGCATTAAACTTTTGCACCTGCTAAAGAAGCGGAAAATTGGCAAGGCAGCTTGTCTGAGGAGCTCGTGGTGTTAAAGAAGGTACTGAAGGCTCAGGCTCGGTGCAGGAAGGCAGAAAATGTATCAAGACTGTTTGAAAATTATTTTTCTTTGCTTTCTGGAGTGGTTAAAAAAATGATTAAACTTTTGGAATGTATTCTAAAAGAAGTGAATGGAGGAGAGTTTTCTAAGACACATGTGCCTGTTACCATTAACTTCCAGCTGGTACAAACCTGCCAGCACATGTTAGCTTGGGTTTTCTTCACAGGAACAGTAAAAGGGTATTTATTTGTTTGGTAGTTGAAAGGAAGGCAGTAATCAGGATTAATGCTCGTGGTCTGTGTCCTAGACCTGTTTTTTTTAATGCAGTGTTAGACATGAAAGATGAAGTTATTTGGTTTTGTCTTGTGTATGTCAGATAAAGATAAATGAATCACAGAACTCAAGCTGGAATCCTGATTACAGTGGAGCTCAGCACAGGGCCATGTGAGCTTCTAATAAATGTAATTGCTGCTTCAGAAGGGCATAGCTGAGCAAATTTCATATCAAATCTGGTAGTGGGGAAGAAATTAGATGGAAAACTGAATTAGAATTGGCAGTTTTCTAGGTGAAAGGTATTAAATGGCCAAAAAACCAATAATTTTGCAGTCGAGAAGGGGGACAACTTTGGCTAACTGCCCATCCTGCTTCAGTGATGAAATGAAGGGAAAAATTAGATGGAAAGTAATATAAAACAAATGAGAAAAAGGGAAGCAGACAGCAATCCGTTCAAAATGGGAGTTAGTGTAGAAAATGAATAAGGAAAGCACGAGCCAAAGGAAAAGCAAAACGTGGGTTGGAGCGCTCGGAGAGGGTGATGAAGAGCTGGAGTCCAGGGGAGACCTTTGCCATAGGATAAGGACAGTGGTAAAACCTGGAGATGATGTCAGAGAACTGGAAATGGGGATGTCATTCCTTAGCAACGCTCAGTATTAAAAATAACAGGTAGGCCTTGAAGGTTTGGATCAGTGTTTGGAAGGGAGGAGCCTGGAGAACCCAGGACAGGCAGTTTGGAGCTGCTGCTGAGGGTGGTGAGCGGGACAGCACAGGACAGGACAGGAGAGCCTGTGTGACAGCCCAGGGAAAAGGAGATGGAAAAGGAGACGGGTGTTCCTGAAGGAGCACAATCTAAGTCCTTTCACTGTCCTTGGTTTTCAGTTCTCTTTGGGATTAGAGTCTGTCTGGGCCCCTGCAATCTCCGTGTTTCCTGACAATCACACGTTGCTGAAGCTCAGAGGGAACCACAGTGAAATGGGGATGCTCAGGGGGATTCTGTGGGGACCTGGCAGATTCAGTGGTTCCAATCACTGATGAAAACATAAAAAACCACTGCTGATAAAATGGTAATATGGCAAAAATATCCCTACCAGGACCAGAGTGAATAACAGCTCCATGAACATTCCCAGTGCAGTCCCAGGGTAAAAGACAAATGAATAGGAATGTGTTCTTGTTTTTAATTACTGTGAGCTGTAAGTGATTATCCTTCTGTATGTCTCAGCTGTGAGAGCTGGGAATTTCGGATGCAGTTTGGATATTTACATTTTAAAAGAGAAGCTGAGTAATTGGAATGGATGCAAGAAAGAAGAGATGCAGAAATTACTGGTGGAGTGTGAAAATGCCTTAGAGAGGGTGAGAGAGAAAACTCGGTAGGCTGAGCTTTTCTACCAAAGTTGAGACTGTCTTGATTACAGTGCACAAATACCTTCACAGGGAGAAAACACTGAACACTGCAGCTCTCTGAGCATAAAAAGAGCAACACAAGAATCACCGACTGGCAGTGGAAGCCAGGCAAATTCAAACTGGGAAAAGGCACAAATTCTTAAGAGAGAGTAACTGTGTAATTTAGGAATGTGTCTTCAAAAACTGTGAACAGAACAATAAAAGTTATGATATTTATGCAAATAGGTCTTCCATGGCTTTTTTTCCTTTCAGAAGTATCCTTAAGGGTGGGCTGGAGGGGCGGGAACAGGGCAAAGGGGCTCCTGGTGAGGTTTCCCCAGGGAAGTTCAGTCAGGGCTGTGCCTCAGCACCCGGTGCTGCTGGAGCCAGTGGTGCCTGAGCTGCTGCAGGGCAGGGCAGAGCTTTCTCAAGGGCTTGTTGCTGTTGCATAAGTGTGTGATGTTGTCCTGTAACGTTTTATATCATCTTAATCCCATTCCCACCTGGAAAGGATCTGTGTAGACTTGAGCTCTTACACCATGTGGCTCCTGAACTCTTCATACGTTTCTGTGCTATGAAAAAAAGAGAAGCACCTGCACACAAATGTCATTCCTAGGGGTAAGTGTTGGCCAGGAATTGCCTTCCCTCTGCTCCACCCACCCTCCAAAGGCAGCACAAAGCTGTTCCCTATTGCTGCCATGGAGTGGGTCCTGCAGGAACAGGTACCTTTGCTGCTGTGAGTCCAGGAAGCTTCCCCTGGGCTGCAGGAGGGGCCGCTGGAACACCGGGATGGGAAACCGCTGAGGGAGAAGTTGTGCCACGTGTGTGGCTGCCACGAGATGCAGCTGTGCTACCCCAGCCCACAGCATCCCGAGGGGAACATCCCAAAGGAGACACCACCTTCTCCAAGATTCACTCCCTCAAACATTTGCCTGTGGATCTCCGAGCAACAAAGCACAACCACCCTTGGAAACAGGGAGGACTTGCCTGCTGAACTAATCCCTGGAGAAGGCTCCTCCTCAGACTGGGGAGGGAACCCAAGGCAAGGCAGCCAAGCCTGGCCTTTTTGTGTGTCATCTTAGAAGTGTGTTTATGTGCATGATAAATATTTGATCGTGCCTGGGACACGTGGACATGCTGACAACGCTTGTGTCACAACTGTATGCATTTAATAAGCATCTCATTTGAATTATTAATGTACAGATCCCCCCAAAGTATTTTTGTGTTATAAACCCCATAATTTATCTAAGTACAAGCTGCAAGTTTGTAAATACAGCATTAAGAAGGTGGCTATTGCATAGCTGCTTTTACAAAATATCCTTTGTGGGTAAGATGTATAGGTTTATTTTTAGAGGATTTAGCTGCTGGGGAGGGCTTCTCCAAGGAAGTTGTATGCTTCTTAGCTGCAGCAGACAGGGAATATAATTTTTTAGTTTGTCCTGCTTGTCAGTAGGAATCAGTTTGACCTGACTGTGCTGTCTGATCTGAGCATCTCCCCAGCCCATTGTTCACCAGAGGCAGATTTATAAAACATCTGTACAGGAAAGAGGCTGGAAGGGACACTTTGAGAGGAGAGCTGGATTAACAATTGGTGTGCCAGTACACTGACTGAAAAGGAGACAGTGAAAATACCTGGCCTGACAAGACTCGTGAGGGATCTGCTCCTTCACAGGGTGCCTGGGGAGCAGGAGCCAGGACTGCGCTGGAGAGCCAGGACAGCGCAGCAGGGATGCAGTGCTGCAGCCAGGGAATGCTGGAGGCTGGAGCTGCTGTGCACAGAGGCATTTTCCATTTGCTGCGAGGAGGGTCAGGCGCAGCAGCCGAGGTAAATGCTCCGAGAGGGCTGTTCTGGGCAGCCCTGAGGGGGAGACCGCACGTCGCACCTTGGTGCGTGTGACACGCACGGGAGAGGTGCAGGAAGTGTCTGTGAGCGGCAAAAGGCACGTGAACTGTGCCCTTCTCAAGAACACTCGCTGACTGTTTATTGCTGACTGACTCTGCAGATTAAATTTGCATGAACAGCAAAAAGGAGTGTGGTGGGAGGGAACTTAACCTCAAAGAAACTCAGCAGCCGACACTTCGGATGTTGGAATTACATTGGAATCAAGCTCTTGATTAAATCTTAGCAATGTCAAAAGCTCAAAGCAGCAATTTTAATTGATGTCACTTTTTCTCCCCCCTCATGTTGCTGAATTATCCCTTGCAATGTGCAGCACATCCCTGTCACTACATTAAATTTGCACGCAAGGAGGGGAGATTAGGCAATAAAGCCACGGGACAAACAGTATGGAGTCAGGCATATCTTCTTGGCTTCATTCACTACTGGGCGTTTTTAAAAAGTGTTTCCAAATCTGAGAAAAACTGATTCCAGATGTGCTCATTTGAAAGATATAAAAATCACGCTAGCACCAAGATTTATCTGGGTTCTCTGCTGTACCTGAATGGATAACTAGTCCCATCTTAAAAACAGAAGTGCTATAAACAATAAAAAGGCCACAGGCAAAGGTTTTAGTGCTTCCTTCCCATTAGCATCCTTTCTTCCCAAGTATTTTAGACTAACGTAGTTGGAGAGCTCCTCTGAGGCTCCAGCACACTGAACCAGAGGGGCCTGGTAGGACGTGGGTCGCTTGTCGGGGCTGTCGGGGCTGGACCCGTCCGTGGGTCTCTCCCCGATGTACAGGAGGCTCCGGTCCCGCGTGTCCTGCTCGGTTTTGAAGAGTTCGTACTCGGTGTGGGGCAGTTTGATGCCCAAAGCCAAGCACCCGTTCGTGGCTGTGATATCCTGCTCCACCCCAGCGCTCCAGGAGCTGGCCAGCCCACAGCTGCCGGGCTCTGAGGAGTTGAGCATCATCACCGTCACCTGGTCCATCGGTGTCACCCGAGCCTGGGTGACTTTAAAAGCCAGCTCGGTGCCGCCCCGCACCTTGGAGGAGGGGATGCCTTGGGAGTAGTGCCCAGAGGCGTAGATGGTGAAGGTGGGCTGTTTGCAGAGCGGGTCTGAGTAGTGATAGTAATACCCTTCCCAGGTGTGGTTGTTACCGTGGAAAATGAAGTACCTGGTGAGGAAGAGCACGGCGGGCCGGACCTCGCAGTGGGTGCTCACCCAGCTGCCGCTGAGCTGCATGGGCAGCTGGGCTCCGGCGGGGAGGATGGGTGGGTGGTGCTCATCAGCCCTGTATATGATCCCACAGGCCGGGCAAGGGTGCACGTGGTGCTGCAGGAAACAAAAAACAACAGCTCTGTAAACTGATAAGAAAATAAATAAATAAATAAAAAAAACCCCTTTAGAATATTCCAAAAGCTGAGACTCCCCCCTGTCCACACCAGGGTGCTGCACTGCAGGGAGCCAGCACGAGGCATCCGAGCAGATTAAGTGAGATAAAGCGCTGCCCTGGCTCTTTGCTATTCTGGTAGCTGAAGGACACAGGGCTGCGTCCTGTGTCAGGGCCGCTGAGGACAGGCCAAGGGAGGAGGGCAGAGCAGGGCAGAGCTGCTGCCAGGGCAGGGAACACTCCCCTGGGACATCCCACCGCTTTTCCACAGCAGGCTGGGTGAGGATGGAGGTGCTGGGAGGTGTCAGCTCCACCACGGCGTTTCTGCACCGATTCAGAACAGTGACACGGGGTTTTTGGCGATGGAAAAGGCTGTGAAACCTTCCCGTGGGGAGGCTCCTGTGGCTGTGCTGCACCGCGGCGATGGAGCCTCTCCAGGACAGCCAAAATCCCGTCATGTTCTGGTTCTCCTTCACCCCACCAGGGTGGGGCAGGTGAGGAGGAAGAGGGACAGAGAGCTTTCCCAGCAGCCAGAATGGGAGAAGAAAAGGACCCACTGCAGAAGGAGACCCTGACCTTCGCTCCCCCTCCTGTGCTACCTGCAGAGCTCTGAGTCAAACCAGCCCTGCCCCTGATCCGCTGCCAGCAGGGGTTTTGTGTAGCCTGGAATTTTTTCTTAGACTTCATATATCACAACTGATTTATTTTTAAATAAGCAGGGTTTGAACATTATATAATTTTCTAGAACACGAGCTAATCTTTACTAAACTGTCATAGGCAAGAAGGTTAAATAACTCAGTAGTTAACTGTAGGGTGGGTAATTTACATGCAGGTTGATTGGAGTCTACTGTAATTTAGTCATTTTCAGCTTGCTTTACTGCTACTGTCACGTTAATGAGTGCTGACAGTACACAGTACATTATGGCTAAATAATCCCAGAAGTTGGCAAATATAAATGTTCTCCTTAGGCAGGAAATTCTTTGATAATGAAAGGTAATTTTGGGAGAATGGGTTTCTTTAAAACAGATATAAATTTAAGGGAAAAACAGTGGTATTTTTGTAAAGAGAGTTAAAAAATAATTCCTAACATAGCTGTGTAACTCACCAGCACAGGCAAATGAATGTCAGTTCAGAGAAAAGAAAAAGAAGTAAAAATCCTGTGCCCAGTAAAATTATCACTATAGACATGGAGCCAAAAACTTTACTCGCTTAAACCAGTCGTGTGAAGTTATTTCTAATATATGGCAGCTTCTAATTATCACCAAGTGGTGACATCATGTGTGGGTCCATTGGAGAGCTGTTGGCTGATTAATTACAGGGCTACATTCAGAGAGTGAATTTCGGTATCTTTAGGTTTGGTTTTAAATTAACTTTTAAAAGTGTTTATGTTTACCATCTGGTTTTGCTCATGTATATGGTTTTGGCCCAAGATAACACAAGTTTAACCAATTTGAGAATGTTGCTTTTGAGAGGGAGAGGGGTGTTGCTCTGTGCTTTTCAGAGTTCAGTTGGTGCAGTTCAGGGTGTGGGGAAATGTTGCCCCAACATAATTTTTCCCCCAGTTATTTCCATTCTATCCGATAAAGTTCAGAGGGGTTTTTTCCATCCCATCTCACTGCTCAGTCGTTTCTGAATTGATCAGTTGTGATTCAGATGGAAAGATGCTTTCCTGGGAATAAACTGACCTGCTGTAAAATATAAAATAAAATAGAATGAAAGGCCAGCAAGTCTCCTGCTCAGTTTTATGTATGTCAAAACAGAAGTTTGATTTCTGTGTAATGACATAATTGTATTGGGGGCCACTGCCTCTGCTGATGGCGTTACACCGAGGAGTTACTGGCAGATGGTGCTGCCTTGCTCCTCTCCCCCTGAGCACCCCCTGAGGAGGGAAGGAGAGGGCAGGAAGATGAAGGACAGAGCAGGCAGCTCTAATGACGTGCAGCCCGAAGCCTCCACGGACTTCGGTGCTGCAAAATAGGAAACAGCATTTCCTAGGAAAACACGGAGCCAAAGCAAGGCCGTTAACTCCAGGCCACGCCAGTGCAGGCTCGTTTCCCGTGCTGGTTTTGCTGAGCTTTCACCCATCCCAGTCCCACTCTCTCAGCAAGGGAGGGGGTGAACCCCACGTGCCGTGGAGCACCCAGGAATCAGAACCTACAGCCCCTCACTGCCTCACCCTCACGTCCTCAGGACAGGGAAGGCCAAGTGCAGCAGGCACTACTTAAAAAACAAGGAAATAAATGCTGGCAGAGCCTGTGACCTGGCGAGGGGACCGCGTAAAGGCCTCATCCTTACCACAGTGCTCTGCAGGGGTCTCTGGTAACCGGTGGGGCGGTAGTGGAGCCTCTCCACCCAGTCCGTGTGGATGTCCCCCAGGTACAGCTCCTCCACCAGCTGGCTGCCGCTCTGCCCCGGCTGCAGCAAGGGCTGGTAGTGCTTCTCCACCCGCACCAGGCTCAGCTCGTGCATGGCGAAGCCCAGGGCGGCCGTGCAGTCGCGCTCCGTCTTGGCGCTCAGCAGTTCGTAGAGGGCTCCGGGGGCCCAGGAGCGCCCCGGGGGCAGGAACCCCCCGCAGCCCTGCCCGGAGGTCTGGTTGATCCAGGAGGCCACCTCCCTCATGGCCTTCTGGCTGTGGAACACGATGCCGACCTTGTGCAGGTGGTAGTCGGCCTCGGTGGCGCCGCGGGTGATCCAGGAGGCCTGGCGCAGCCGCAGCTTGCCCTTGATCACCAGCGTGTACGAGGGCTCGCGGCACGAGGGGTCCCAGTAGTAGAACTGGTAGGCCTTGAAGAGGCGGTTGGCGTAGAACAGGTAGGAGCGGGTGAGGAACTCGGGCCCCGGGCGCACCTCACACCTGCGGGGAAGGCCGACCTGAGCCACCTGGGGCTGGGGGTGCGTGGGGTGCTCCCCAGGGCATGGGGGGAGAGGGGACAGGGCGGGAGCAGCAGCGGGGACAAGAGCCTCCCACACCTGGTGGCCGCTCTTGGGTGATCTTAATGGGCGCCTGCTACCAAAATGTGAGAGTGCTGGAGAGAGGGCCTGTCTCGGGCTGGGGTGGGAGGTCTGATGGGGGCTGGGGGCACACTCCCAAGGATGGAGGTGCCTTCCCAGGAAAACAGGGTGCCTCACCCAGGGTTTAGGGGCATGTTTCCAGGCGGTTTAGGGGGTGCCTTCCCGAGTTTTGGGGGCGCATTCCCGGGGCTTGGGGATGCCTTACTGGGGTCTGGGGGGCCCGTTCTCAGGGTTTGGTGGTGCCTCACCCGGGGCTTTAGGGGCGCTTTCCCGGGGTTGGGGTGTGTGTGGGGGGTCCCACCCGGGGTCCGGAGGTGCCTTACCCTGTGGAGACCCAGCGCCCCTCCAGGCGGGGCGGCAGCCGAGCCGCGATCCTGGCGCCGTCCTGCAGGTGGCGGAGCTGCTGCCGGCACCGCGACTCCCAGCGCAGAGGGGGCTCCGCGGCCGCGCAGGCTGAGCGGGGGACACGGAGCGGGGTGGGGAGGGAGAGGGAGAGGGAGAGGGAGAGGGAGAGGGAGAAGGGAGAGGGAGCGGAGTCAGCACTGCGGGCCCGGCACCGGCCGCCGAGTGCCCCGAGCGGCTGGAGAAACATCCCCCCCAAGGCGGGTGAACTTTCAGCTCTTAGCTGAGCGCACAGGGTTTTTTTTTTATTTCACTCAGGTTTTCCCGCTTGAGTTTCATCTGAATCCAACCGTTTTTCAGATGAAATCTTCAAATAAAACCAAGCGCTCTTTGTTCGTGTTCTCTCTCTTTCTCCCCCTCTCTCTCCCAGGCTATTGTTGAGGCAGTGACTGGAACAGGGAATTACAGCATGGGAACATTGGCCTCGCCTGTCGCCCGCCATAAGGACAGTAATTCTGTCACTTACCTCATTTCCCATAACAACGGATGTTATTGGCTTAGGGAATGTGTGAACACTCAGCTAAATCCTGAAGACCTTTGCATGCACACACACTCATGTACATATATTCCTATATATTATTCACTCCACTTAAGCTAACCTCTCTGGCACTCACCGTGGGCTTGCTTCACTAAGAAATTCGGGATTTGCCTCTTCATAACACCATGGAATGAGCTCTCAGGGAAGCTCCTCCTGACACCCTACCAATTCTCTGCTGTCCTACAACTGCCCTGCCTGGCAGAGCCCCGTCCCTGGTCCCAGTGGTGCTCAGCCCAGATGGGGGTTTATGAGCCCAGACAGGGTTTGCTTGCTCCAGCTGTACTGTGCAATTTACCCAGGAGTGTGCTGGACATTTTCAAGCCAGCCTTTATTCACTCCATACCAACGGTAGGACACAGGCTGATTTCCAGCCTGCCTATCAGCTGGAACAAAAGATCCTCAGTGCCTCTTGTCCAGGAGCTCAAGACAGAGTCACAACTGCTCATCTTAGTCCCTGTGTGCCTCAGATGTACCTTGATATAACCTGAACCATCCTGCGACCTTTATAGGGAGATTTACCAGAACCAGACCTTTCACTGGGAAGAGAAACCCCAAACCATGTGGCTGCACATGAGAGAAGAGACAGGTGAGATCATGCAGGGCTTGGAGAGTGCAATCACCTTCCTAAAACAAGTGTTTGTGGATGAACCAGGCACACACAGATCTGCTGCAAACCATGGGCAAGCTCCGAGCTCTGCTGAGCAATGTCAGCAGAATTCCCTGGTTCACAAGCTCAGGATGCAACACAAACATAAACACTCAGGGTGAGAATCACAGCTGGGATCTGCCAGAGAGGCTCTGCCAGCCTGGGATTTCCTGGTACCTCACTATGTGCTGCACTAGACTGAACTAGCTGGAAAGACACATTATTTAGTGTTTGGGGCTCTTTTTGGAGCAGACTCACAATTCTAGAGTTCTTACTGTCTTTAAGGGCTGGATATGGCAAGCAGGCACATCCAACTCCTTCACAACTGCTTCCACTAGTGCTTCCTAAAATGCAGTTCCTGTGAGTCTTCACATGAAAACGGGAAAATACTGGATGACAAAACCCATTGCTATTGGTTAAATCTTTGGTTTGGCAGCTGCAGGGAGTAAGGTTGCCCCATGGGCACCTATTTAGTAGGGCCATTGGGAGCTGGGCATCTCCATCCTCATCCCAGTTCTGCCAGGACTTTGCTCTGTGATCCCGTGTGCTCCCCGCTCCCAGGGCTCTTTTTTTACTCATGTGCAGGATATGCCAAGTTTCATCTGACTGCCCTGAGAGGCCCAATTATTGGCAAAGCTTTTGGAGAGCAAGGGCAGTCCAAAACTGAACCACACTTCAAACAAACATGACATTATTATCCTAGAGAATACAATAAACTAAAATAACTGTATTTGTACTAGAGGCAATGGACATAAGGGTCAGATTTGCTCTTGCCCATAACCACAGAATGACCCCAGAGGTGTCAATGCAGTGTATAGCTATAGAATATACACAATATAACCCCTTTTTCAACTCTCTAACTGTGCTCTCTGTGTGTTTATTGCAGCAGAAGCTTCAATATCTGACTGAACCCTTAGTGCTACTTTTGGCAGAAACACTAAAAGTCTGCATTGTTTGGGAGCACAGACACTTTGGCAATGCAGT